TGAAGCATCAATAACATTAAAAAACTGCCAAATTATATATGACAGCATAGCAGTCAACTACTACTCATCCGTTGGTTGTATGCACTGTGGTGGTCGGTGTATTGTTGTGATGCCTGTAGTTAAGCTACAGTACTTCAGTAACCAGCAGGGTCACCCACAGTGGAGAGAGCTTTCATACCAACAAAGGACGGGGAAGAAGGACCTAGTGATCTACTTTGAAAAAGCTGTCCAGTAAAAACAATATGGAAGCAAGGGAACGTCATCTGATGTAGGGCGGGAAGATCAGTGGGATGGCATTCAAAATACATCTGGGAATAAGTTATCTATTCAAATAAGGGTTGACCTTTATGAAGTGGATGCAGTAAAGCTTTGGGGATCTTCAGTGGCTGATATAGCACAAACATGAAATAGAAAGACAGATCTGTAAGCACTAATTAGTAATCGGACTATGGAATGAATGGAATATAAATCTTGGGAAATTGGAAGTAGTAAAAAATGAAAAAGAATACATAAAGATTGACATCCTCGCCATTAGTGAAATGAAATGGATGGAGATTGGCCATCTTAAGTTGGAAAATCATGTAGTTTAAATATGTCAGGAATGAGTAATTGATACACCATTCAGCGCGCGCACACACATGCAATCATGATCTTCCTTGAAGAAAACAATGTCAGAGATAGAATAATATTCTTATTAGAAAGACCAATTAATATAGCTATCATTCAAATTTATGAAGCAATTCCAATGCGAAAAATGAAAAAAACTGAAGATATTAACCAAGTTTTTCCTTTTGAAATTCATCAATCACGCAATGAAGATAAATTGATAATTACTGACTACTGGAATGTGAAAACTGAAAATAAACATCAGTATTCAAGACAGATGGCCATTTTAGTGATCAAAATGATTCTGGGGATCACATTATATAATTCTGAAAGACTGACAACCTATTCATTTCAAATATAATTTTCAACAACACAAATGGCAAGAGGCAACAGAGAAGTTCAATATCATCAGTCTGGACAAGATGAGGAGACAACTGTGGAACAGACTATCAATTACTCTAATGCAAGTTCAAGTTGAAGCTAAAGAAACTGAAAACAAGTCCATGAGACCCAAAGCACAACTTTAAGTATATCTCACCTGAATTTAGATATCATCTCAAGATTAGAATTAATGCCTTGAATGCAAATGACTGAGGACCAGGGAAGTTCTGGCATATAATCAAGGACATTACATGTAAGAAAGCAAAAGGTCACTAAAAAGAATATAAAATGTACTTGACACAATGGATGTATGTATGGATTGTGGTAAGAGTTGTACGAGCCCCAATAAAATGATTTTTTAAAAAAAGAATGTATTCTGTATGAAAAATATTAGGACTATGAAGCCAAAAATCTCCAATGAGCAAAAAAAAAAAGGTAAATTGTACTTACAAAAGGTACAAGTTATGTGTTTGTATGCATGCATATAAGACATAGATATCAACAGATACTTCTAAATTGTCCTTTTATTAAGTAAAAAATTGATAAAGAAGCTTTATAGAAAAAAAAAAGAATATAAAACAAAGCAAACCCCACCAAAACTGATGACAGAAGTAACCCTGAAAATTGTTCACCAAAGAGAATGAAAGAAATGATGAAATAAAAGAGCTAACTAAGCAGGAGAATTCAGAGG